ATCCCACACACACACACACACACCCACACACGCACACTAAAATGTGATCATTTAAAGGGTGGAAATGCGTAGAAAATACCTGTTGAAATTAGGGACATTGGGAGCGAGTTCATTAGTGAAAGGCGGAAGGCCCATAGCACCCCTTCGCCAACCGGTATTATTGGAGGACAACACATTGGAATCGCCATTTAAACTCCCCGAACCAGGCAGTCTGTCCACTTCGTTTCCTGAAGCCCTTGTACGTCGCAGAAGTCTCCAAAGTAGGGTAAACCGTCGCTGGAATGAGGAAAGCAATAGGTATAGTAGATGCTAAACAAAGTACCCAACTCGACAAAGTTCCCAATCTCAATTGGGAGAGCATGATCCAACCTTCACATAGAGGGGGGGGGGGAGAGTAAGGTGATCGAGAGGGGACAATTACTGCACTGTCAACTGGACCAATGGGAGACTTGAACGCGAGATCAACAAAAAGAAGTCGAAGATGTCCTCTGTGACAAGAAGGCCGCTCTCTCCAATGTGAACTTATTCAAATTCTCAGGCTCACTTTTCCATATTTCATTATATTCGCCACGTGGTGCACCCTGGGCAACGTATACTCATACGGCGAAAAAAATTCTATTAACTGGCAGTTGACCACTGACTTCAAACTACCATCACCCCAAGTCTATTAATCGGCAGTTGACTTCTGACTTCAATTACCATGATCTATTAACTGGCAGTTGACTTCTCTATGTCATATTCGTTATATTAACTGGCAGTTGACTTCTCACTTCAAACTACCCAATTCTATTAACTGGCAGTTGACCACTGACTTCAAACTACCATCACCCCACTCAATGTCATAGTCGACAACTTCCATAGTATTCACCTTACCTTCTCTCTGCCTTTGTCAGTCTATCTCATTTACATCTATGTATCATTATTCTGTCTCCCTCTCGACTTGTTGTCACTTTGATGTTCCTCCTCCTCCTCTCTGTGAAGCCCAAAGTCAGCTAAAAGGCTAATGATAACTATCAAAACGCCTGCCATTTGATATAAACATATTCACAAAATCAATTAAATACTTAACAGTATTTATTTAGGACATGTTATCTAGACAGTCGAGTTATTATTTTTAAGGGCAGATGATTATCAATTGCAATGTAAGTAGAGAATTGGTCAGCAATTTTTTTACTCTATAATGACAGGCAAAAGTAAACACAATCCCACCTTGTGCTTATGTGAATTGAGAATTCAGAGCAATTATAATTTTTTGTTGCTGTTGTTGTTGAGAACATGCAAATTGAGACGTTGTGTTTCATGTGTGTGTGTGTGTGTGCGTGTGTGTGTGTGTGTTTGCGTGCGAGTTGCCGCCAGTGTTGCTGTAACTTGATCCTTACAAGAAGGCAGACCATGGCGCTTTAAATGCCATTATAATCGGCATAACAATCAGCTAGTGAAAGAAAGAAGAAGAACAAGAAGAAGAAGGACACCGGAATTCTACAATAAATGGTAAACGAGTTGTTTTGCGAATAAAATACAACTATTTACCGGACCACGCCTGAGCAGCCTCTATGGAGTCGGCATGAGAATTGCAAAATGCTAAGTATTCATAGCAAAAAGTGGGCTTTATTCTCACTTATTGGGGGTGTGCGATAGACTTACCTCCACGTGGTGCACCCTGTTGGGTGTGCGATAGACTTACCTCCACGTGGTGCACCCTGGGAAACGTATACTCATACGGTAAAAAGTCTATTAACCGGAAGTTTGTGTGCGATAGACTTACCTCCACGTGGTGCACCCTGGGCAGCGTATTTTCTTACGGCAAAAAAGTCTATCACTCGGCTTTCGGGTTTACTCATACGGCCAAAAGGTCAATTAAACGGCAGTTGACTTCTGACTTCAAACTACCATCACCACACTGTATGTCATATTCGGCCACTTCCTCCACAATACTCACCTTTCCTTTTCCCTACCTTTTTGTCTGTCTGTCTCTTCTACATCTGTGAAACACTCTTCTGTTCCCACTCTCCACTTTTTGTCACTTTGATGTTCCTCCTCCTCCTCCTCCCTGTGAATCCCGAAGTCAGCTAAAGCGCTAACGATGACCATCAAAAAATGCCTTCCATTTGAAATAAAATCCTCACTTATTGAAATACTAGGGGGGGGGGGGGAGGAATGGAGGAATAAATGACGCAGTGTTCAGTGTAATTACACAGAGTCACATTCTTTAAGACAAGATGGCTATTTTATTTTGCTTTCATGCTCCTGAGAGCCAAAGTAATAGCTATCATGCCTAGTCAATGCCATCAATTCGCCTCTTGCTATATAAGTGCCCCCCTCCCCCTCTTCATTTCATTTAAAGTACATCAGCACTAA